AGGAAGAAGAAGAAGAAGAAGAAGAAGAAGAAGAAGAAGAAGAAGAAGAAGAAGAAGAAGAAGAAGAAGAAGAAGAAGAAGAAGAAGGAGAGCTTGATTATCATTTAGATATCCAGAAAGAAAAACAACAGAAGCTAAGGGGACAAAACTTTTTTTTAAAGAAAAAGCAAAGAAAACGAAGAAAAAACAAGAAGAAAATATTTTTTATTTGTCCTGCTCCGTGTCCCACTATTTTTTGTTTGGCATCTCTTTTTTCAGACAGAAGCGGTAGTAGCGGATCTTTTAAAAAACTTATTTGGAAACTTAACTTGATTTTTAGATCCTGAATAATCTCATTATTTTTCACTTCAGCGAAAGTACATGTATTGTAATATGTGTGTGTGTGTGTCACAGGCTGCTTTCATATCTTTGGATAGGATTTGGAAGACCAGAGATATCTCACTTTGAACAAAGATGAGGATTTTCAATTCAAATGTGAAGTCGGTCCTGTTGTATGGATGTGAGACATGGAACGCATCACAGACTTGTATAAAGAGGATCCAGGTTTTCTTGAACAGGTGTCAAAAAAGTTACTGAGGATCAGATGGACAGACAGGGTCACCAATGTGGAAGTGTTAAAGAAAACAAGACCGATCCCAGTCAGAGATGAGATAGGAAGAAGGCGGTGGCGATATTGATTGGACATACTCTCAGGAAATCAGGCAGCTGCATAACAAAGACAGTTTTGGATTGGAACCCACAGGGTAAGAGATCAAGGGGAAGACCGCGTGGAACCTGGAGAAGAATCACAAAAATCGATGTACAGAAAAAACAGGAAGACAGGGAATAATATCAAGAGGCTAGCCCAGGATAGAGTAAAGGTGGAAGGTGTTTGTCCGTGGCCTATACCCTAATGCAGGGTGAGAAAGGCAATGATGATGATGATGATGATGATGATGTGTGTGAGTGTTTGTGTGTGTATGTGTATGTGTGTGTGTGTGTGTGTGAATGTGTGCATGTGTGTGTGTGTGTGTGTGAGTGTGTGTGTGTGTGTGAGTGTGCGAGTGTGTGCGTGTGTGTGTGTGCATGTGTGTGTGTGTGTGTGTGTGTGTGTGTGTGTGTGTGTGTGTGTGAGTGTGTGTTTCGGAACAGAGGAGGGGGCGGGGAAATACTTTGACTGCTCGATCCTCCTACTGGGGTCAAACTGAGTTTAGTTTAGATTAGAGGGATTCCTTCGTCATTCTCGCCTTTTTTGTGTGTGTGTTCAGTCAGGGAAAAACGAGAAAAAGCACAAGAAGAGTCGGAATACCATCATCTTGATCGACTTCGTAAGCTTGGAATTGGATGGGGCGCCTGCAGAAGATCTAGACTTAGTAGGAGGAACGGAAGGCTATGGAATCAAACATTGTCTGGAACCGTCAGCATGTACACACTTAGAGATGTGCTTCTTCGGGGGACGGAGCGCTTATGGGGATGCCCCTTGTGCAGTGATGTCGGTCCTTCACACAAGTAACAAGGAACAAGTATCGCCTTTTTTTCAAACTATAGACCAGGGTATAGAGGTCACCGACAAATAATTTCCACTTTTCCCTAACCTGGACTAGCCTCTAGATAATATTCCATGTCGTCTTGCCACTTTCATGAGCATCGTTTTCCCGGCAGAAAGACGGGAGATACAGTACAGATAAAGCAGGCCTCCTCCGGTGAGAATTTATAGCCCGTGCGTCTTTAAGCGTGCAACCTTGAAAAGCCCAACTCGGCCATCACACCGCAGACGCAGGTAGTTACAATTTTACAACTAGGTACTTAATTGTCACGGAAATATTTCCTTCTGTCCCCACCACTTAAAGTTAAAGGCAATGCCCCACACTGCAGCAAAGAACAGTTTTTGAGGAACCGCACCTTCTTTTTAAAACATGGCATTGGGCCGAAAGCATACGCTCAACTCAAGGGCCACTGGATTAACAACAACAACAACAACAACAACAACAACCACTGGATTAACAACAACAGCAGCAGCAGCAGCAGCAGCAGCAGCAGCAACAACAACAAGTCAATACAAAAACGGTCATGTTTTTTCATGGAACTGGTCCCCATAATGTGTAATAATGCAAGCCCCAGATAACCTAGATAGATACGGTACTAACGTAGCTACGCTGGTATCTATTAGTCTTCGGTACCGTAACACTGAAAAGCCGCCGAAGAAATAGACTACCAGAACGCCCACCAATCACCGGCAGATCACAACACACTCGTCTGCCTGTCTGTCTGTCTGTCTGTCTGTCTGTCTGTCTGTCTGTCTGTCTGTCTGTCTGTCTGTCTGTCAGACACTGTCTGTCTGTCAGACACTGTCTGTCTGTCAGACACTGTCTGTCTGTTTGTCTGTCTGTCCTGCCTGTCTGTCTGTCTGTCTGTCTGTAGCCTATGTGTGTTTTGGTGTAAGTAGGAACAATGGAAGCATTGAAGAATATTGTAACTACAGACAAGTTTGATGGAAAGAGAGGCAGAGGCAGACAGAAGGAAAAGATACTGGACAAGTTGACAACATGGCTGGGAGTAGCAAGAACAACAGACACCATTGCTGCAACGCAAGATAGATGGAAGTGGAGGTCCTTGATCGCCCACACCAGTCGGCAAGGCACCGGATGATGATAATGAGTGACAATGGAGCAAAAGGAAACACATTTTTGTTATATATCTATAGTCCAAGAAATGGAATGCATACTTATAATAGTTAGACACATTATTCTTTATGTGTTAATAGTGTTAGTATCTTGTTTTAAAGATCTGAAAAGTTTTGTTAAATCAAAAGACGTGTTTATAAAACTCTTACTTGCTAAGGTATCCATTCTGTTTGAGTATGTGAAACTTGAAATTTAAAACATAGTAAACCACTCTGATATAGCACAGATTCCTCCTCTGCTCTGTATATTGCAAGACAACCAGGTGTTTTAGAAGCACTGGCTGAGCGGACCCGGACCCCACCAACACTAAAACCTACGCTGCCTGACTAGCCTATAGTTCACGTTTGAGTGCGCATTTACCCCCCAAAAGCTTTCGTCTGCTGAGTCGAACTGAGAATATTGTGTTGACCAAGTCATTCGCAGCGTGCCGTGTGTGTTATTCCGGGGTTTGAGGACGAACGGACGCAGGAATTTCTTTTCAGGTTTGTCGCGAAGGCCTAGGCTACGTACGCGACAGGCCTGGCTGGTTGCCCCAGGGTTTGGTGCGCGGGAGAGCGGGTGTGGGGTGTCGAGAGTAGCTTACAGTGTGGAGAGGCAGAAGATATTCGGAGACGTCTCCGGCGAGAACCTAGGAACAATTTGAACGCACTCTCGCACGCAGAAGCACTGTTTTGGGGGAGTCAAACTGCGTATTATTTGCTGCAGATCACACATATAGCCACTAAAAAAACTGTCGCAAATCAATTATTTCCAAGAAAATTTCAAACTTAACTGCAAAATATCAAACTATGGGTTGAAAAGCAGGCGGCATGCCCCTCTGTGATCCCCCATATTTTTTACTTGTTCAAGAGGCGCAACGCATTTTGATTGGTCTATTTCCGTCGGAGCCGTCTCCGAATAGATACTGCGGTGTTGGGACAGGTTCTCTTTTGGCTTTTGGGAGTTGCCCAAAGAGGTTTTGGGGTTGCCTCGCCCTGTTGGCCGTCACAGCAAGGCAAGGGCAATGCTTCTTCTACAGAATGAGGAAATTGACGGATGGTGGGGTTTTTTTAGTTGATTGTTGTTGGGTTGTTGTTTTTTCTAGCGGGGTCCGTGGCATTTTTCTGTTTTAGCAAGTTGTTGCTTTTATAGAAATGTTTGTTGCTTTCAGCTAGATGGGGTTTTTAAAGTTTTAATTTAAATTTTAAATTATTTTTTAAAGTTGTTATTAATGTTTTGCTTAT